TTATACCAGTATGTTTCTGACAGACCAGATACTATAGGTGGTTCAATGACAGCTATAACTGTATACTTGTGAATCTTATACCAGTATGTTTCTGATATATCAGATACTATAGGTGGTTCAATGACAGTTAGAACTGTATACCGTATATCGCTGTGTATAAGGCGAGTTTTTCATACCTAAAATAAGGGGGCTAAGAAGGGGGGTCGTCTTATACACGGAGTCGAAGATCTCACATTTTTTCCCACTGGCGATGTCAACCGGCGTCCGATAGCCAGCCCAGCATTTGACAATAAAACTTCGCATTTCGTCCTCAATAACTGTTCCAATAACTATTTCCATACATAAACATGATTTGTATCTCTTTTCCTTGAATAAAGTTTAATAATTTCTGCAAATAAAGTTGAAATGACCCTCGCCTCGATGCAGATTGACACGGTAAAACAATCAACATCCGCGAGTAGAGAGCCGGAAGTACCGGTAAGCATTTGCATATTGCACATGTGACCTAACATGTGATAACCGGTGAAGCTGAAATCAATTCCCGCTGTTTTTACAGTTGTATTAACAAGTGTTGGAGACGGTGTGTACAAGTGATTGTGGAATAAACACGCTGAATGTGAAGCAAACATAAGCCTAGTTAGTTACAACATAGTTAATTGGCGATTAAATTACTCACCATTGTCTCTTATATGTTATTACTTCATAAATGAATTTTATTTTACGGGCCCCAATTTGGTGTCGTACCGTGTAAACACAAAATGGCGACGTGTGTTGTAGAAAAAAAACAACGCAAGATAAACATATTTTTATTGCATATATAAGGTTTGTGTGCGCACTTGTGATGTGTGCGAAATACGCATCAGTCGGAAAGCGCACGTTAAATTTCCAAAGTAACTAACTAACTTCTGATGTCCGTGTGCGAAATACGCTACAGTCGGAAAGCGCACGTTAATCTTCTATATCAGTCAGACTTGTGATATGTTTCATTCCCGGTCGCCTTATACACGGAGTATAGGATTTTGGGTTGATTTTTAAGGCGTGTACAGGGGGGTCGTCTTATACGTGGGGTCGCCTTATACACAGCGATATACGGTACTTGTGAATCTTATACCAGTATGTTTCTGATATATTAGATACTATAGGTGGTTCAATGACAGTTAGAACTGTATACTTGTGAATCTTATACCAGTATGTTTCTGATATACCAGATACTATAGGTGGTTCAATGACAGTTAGAACTGTATACTTGTGAATCTTATACCAGTATGTTTCTGATAGACCAGATACTATAGGTGGTTCAATGACAGCTATAACTGTATACTTGTGAATCTTATACCAGTATGTTTCTGATATACCAGATACTATAGGTGGTTCAATGACAGCTATAACTGTATACTTGTGAATCTTATACCAGTATGTTTCTGATATATCAGATACTATAGGTGGTTCAATGACAGCTATAACTGTATACTTGTGAATCTTATACCAGTATGTTTCTGATATATCAGATACTATAGGTGGTTCAATGACAGCTATAACTGTATACTTGTGAATCTTATACCAGTATGTTTCTGATATACCAGATAGTATAGGTGGTTCAATGACAGTTAGAACTGTATACTTGTGAATCTTATACCAGTATGTTTCTGATATACCAGATACTATAGGTGGTTCAATGACAGTTAGAACTGTATACTTGTGAATCTTATACCAGTATGTTTCTGATATACCAGATACTATAGGTGGTTCAATGACAGCTATAACTGTATACTTGTGAATCTTATACCAGTATGTTTCTGATATATCAGATACTATAGGTGGTTCAATGACAGCTATAACTGTATACTTGTGAATCTTATACCAGTATGTTTCTGATATACCAGATAGTATAGGTGGTTCAATGACAGTTAGAACTGTATACTTGTGAATCTTATACCAGTATGTTTCTGATATACCAGATACTATAGGTGGTTCAATGACAGTTAGAACTGTATTCTTGTGAATCTTATACCAGTATGTTTCTGATATATCAGATACTATAGGTGGTTCAATGACAGCTATAACTGTATACTTGTGAATCTTATACCAGTATGTTTCTGATATACCAGATACTATAGGTGGTTCAATGACAGTTAGAACTGTATACTTGTGAATCTTATACCAGTTTGTTTCTGATATACCAGATACTATAGGTGGTTCAATGACAGTTATAACTGTATACTTGTGAATCTTATACCAGTATGTTTCTGATATATCAGATACTATAGGTGGTTCAATGACAGCTATAACTGTATACTTGTGAATCTTATACCAGTATGTTTCTGATATACCAGATACTATAGGTGGTTCAATGACAGTTAGAACTGTACATTTGTGAATCTTATACCAGTATGTTTCTGATATATCAGATACTATAGGTGGTTCAATGACAGTTAGAACTGTACATTTGTGAATCTTATACCAGTATGTTTCTGTATCCCTGTGGTACCATGTGATCATCAGAATAGCATGACATCCCCCTGTAGAAGTACAAGGTGGTAGTAGTACGAAGGTCCTGAGGTGCTAGTTTCACCGGGTGGATGTTGAGCCCTATCCACATTGCCTCAGACTTTACCTACGTGTTCTGTAAGGCTTCTAGTCAGACTTTACCTATGTGTTCTGTAAGGCTTCTGGTCAGACCTTATCTACGTGTTCTGTAAGGCTTCTATTCAGACTTTACCTGCGTGTTCTGTAAGGCGTCTAGTCAGACTTTACCTACGTGTTCTGTAAGGCTTCTAGTCAGACTTTACCTACGTGTTCTGTAAGGCTTCTGGTCAGACCTTATCTACGTGTTCTGTAAGGCTTCAATTCAGACTGTACCTACGTGTTCTGTAAGGATTCTAGTCAGACTTTACCTACGTGTTCTGTAAGGCTTCTGGTCAGACTTTACCTACGTGTTCTGTAAGGCTTCTAGTCAGACTTTACCTTTGTGTTCTTTAACACTTCAAGTCAGACTTTACCTACGTGTTCTGTAAGGCTTCTAGTCAGACTTTACCTATGTGTTTTTTAACACTTCAAGTCCAACTTTACCTACTTGTTCTGTAAGGCTTCTGGTCAGACTTTACCTACGGGTTCTGTAAGGCGACTTCACCTACGTGTTCTGTAAGGCTTCTAGTCGGACTTTACCTACATGTTCTGTAAGGCTTCTATTCAGACTTTACCTACGTGTTCTGTGAGGCTTCTAGTCGGACTTTACCTACGTGTTCTGTAAGGCTTCTATTCAGACTTTACCTACGTGTTCTGTAAGGCTTCTAGTCAGACCTTACCTACGTGTTCTGTGAGGCTTCTAGTCGGACTTTACCTACATGTTCTGTAAGGCTTCTAGTCAGACTTTACCTTTGTGTTCTTTAACACTTCAAGTTCGACTTTACCTACGTGTTCTGTAAGGCTTCAGGTCAGACTTTATCTACGTGTTCAGTAAGGCTTCTATTCAGACTTTACCTACATGTTCAGTAAGGCTTCAGGTCAGACTTTACCTATGTGTTCTGTAAGGCTTCTAGTCAGACCTTACCTTCATGTTCAGTAAGGCTTCTATTCAGACTTTACCTACGTGTTCTGTAAGGCTTCTAGTCAGACCTTACCTACGTGTTCTGTAAGGCTTCTAGTCAGACTTTACCTATGTGTTCTGTAAGGCTTCTGGTCAGACCTTATCTACGTGTTCTGTAAGGCTTCTATTCAGACTTTACCTACATGTTCAGTAAGGCTTCAGGTCAGACTTTACCTATGTGTTCTGTATTTTAGGCTTCTAGTCAGACCTTACCTACATGTTCAGTAAGGCTTCTATTCAGACTTTATCTACGTGTTCTGTAAGGCTTCTAGTCAGACTTTACCTTTGTGTTCTTTAACACTTCAAGTTCGACTTTACCTATGTGTTCTGTGAGGCTTTTAGTCAGACTTTACCTATGCGTTCTGTAAGGCTTCTAGTCAGACTTTACCTATGTGTTCTTTAACACTTCTAGTCAGACTTGACCTACGTGTTCTGTAAGACTTCAAGTCCGACTTTACCTACATGTTCTGCAAGGCTTCTGGTCAGACTTTAACTTCTAATTATAGAAACAAAACAAAAAGAAATGAAGTTTAATTAAAGTTTATAATGAAAAATAGACAAGGGCAAAACCTTCATGAGCTTGTTGAAAGCCTACACATTTCCTCTTTCCCTGCCTCCATCAAATCTGCTTGTACACAGTAGTTTATAACAGCTTTTCTTTATCAGGGATTTTGTTTTCACTTATTTAATCAGAAGGGGCATGTTTTAATGCTGGAATTAGTTGCTTGTTCAAATTCCCCAAGGAACACATTTGTTTTATACTAGTAGAGCAACATTAGATGGGAATGCCAGATCATGGCTTAACTCTCCGACTGCTACAATCACCAAGACAAATATACAAAAAGAACTTCCAACTTTCAATAGCACAAAGTTTAAAGTTACATGTTAATGATCAAGCCTGTTAGCATAAACCCTTTGAGATAATCTTGCATCCCTTTTGTCCCGTTCCTTTCAATAAATCATTCTTATAAAACTCACAAATGTTTACGAAAGCATATTTTGACCCTATGCTATTCTCCTGTGCTGACTTTATTCCCTTGCTTTGCCAAGAAAAACTTGAAACTGAGATGACATCATTCTTGCTGGCAAACACACTCTTGGAATATCAAATATTTTCCCCACAGAGATAAAACAGTTCCACAGTGCAGAAAGGCTAATATTTATGATTATTCTCAGAAGTCTTAAAGTTTAAGGCTAATTGAAACAAACATAAAAAAAACAAAATGTGTATTATGAATTTGAAATTAGTCATTTATGACTCTTATCTAACAAGCAAATCGATATGATAATACTAACTCATAAATATTGTTAAGTCATTGAGCTCATTCAGAGTGGTTGTATTTGATGACATATTTTAACAGCATATTGTGGATTCAGCACATATATTATGTCAAGAAAAACATTAATGTTTCAGAGTCATCGGACCCAGCAATGATGTGGCTACAACCAGAAAAAACATAGTATCAGTGAAAGGGATGGTGATTTCTGGAAGGGCTGGGATGGACACCTAGGTTCCTCGCGTTGGGTGGAGGCTGAGTAAGACCTGGGTACCCACAGACTACCCAGACCCATGGTTAGTCACGTGATATTTTGTTTAATGACAAGATGAACTCCATGGTTACACTACACGTCTACATGTTTGCATTTCTTTCTGACTATGCATGCATTCCTTCTGACTTTTATATATCTGAATAAAGATGAAACTTCAGTCAACTTCAGTGCATGAATGACCAGATTGTTTTATAATATTGACAGTAGTGGGTGACCTCACCTAGATGAACACTTCCAAGCTGACTGTCGTTCATTTCCCGATGAACGTCAGTATGTCACATGATTACGTTGTCAATCGAGCGGAGACATACAGAACTACTTTTGGGGAATTCCTCAATGTATAAAAATAACATTAAAAATCATAAGGGACAACTAACAACATCGATTCAGGATATGAATGATGCGGGCTTTGAGGCCAGACAGATCACACAGGTCGAAATATAACAGCTATAACAGAGAATGCTCGACTTACCAAAAGAAATCACTGTGCTCCACACTGTTGTGTAATACTATGGGAAATCCAACCACGCCACCTCATGCGGTAATCCCCATCATCAGCAGCCGTAGTATGACTCAAACACACACCAAAAGTTCACAGAACATTAATATCAATCCATTTTCAGCATCAGCCAAGTCTGGATTTCTTTCTAACGCTAACTTTTCCTGGGTGCTCATTTCAAGTGAATGACATTTCCGTAGCCACCATTTTCTACCGTTTGTAAAACCAAGGGTTCGCGCATCATGAAATTTGCTCACGTGAGTCACTGTCTTCATCAGCAGATGAACATCAACAAATACAACTTTAATCCTTATGTATATCTGAATACATTTTTCGAGGAGGGCTGCCCATCAAACTATTTCCAATCGGACATTTTCTACCCATCTCTTGTGACCTGCAGCAGGTTCCCGGGTTGGGTCAGGTAATAGGGGGGTGGGTACCCGGGTGGGGTCAGGTAATAGGGGGGTGGGTACCCAAGTAGTAAATTTGGACTCATCCCAGCCCTTGTTCCGAGTAATGTGAGCTAAGAGCTGATATGGTCTCAGCAGCACAACACCACACAAGCGTCACACAAGGACTCCATGTGGGAATCAACCCTGGACTCTGGTGACAACTGAGCCACCTCATGGCCTTAATTAATTTGTGTGGATGGTTGGGTGGCCCAAGATTAAAGTCTTTGAAATAGAACCTTAGATAAATATGGAATAATGTCCCAAGCAGCATAGAATAATAGGGAATAATGTCACAATAAGCATAGGCTCATAGGGAATAATGTCACAAGAAGCATAGAATAGGGAATAATGTCCCAAGCAGCATAGAATAATAGGGAATAATGTCACAATAAGCATAGGCTCATAAGGAATAATGTCACAAGCAGCATAGAATTATAGGGAATAATGTCACAAGCAGCATAGAATAATAGGGAATAATGTCACAAGAAGCATAGACTCATAGGGAATAATGTCAGAAGCAGCATAGACTCATAGGGAATAATGTCACAAGCAGCATAATAGGGAATAATTTGATAAGCAGCATCCAAAGCGATGTTTCAGTGTAGATACTAACACCGTTATTAGCAAAGGATGTTGAGAAATGTGAAGTAGGAAGGGGATGTACATGTGGATGAGTGATGTTAAAACAAGGCTGAATGAAGATAGATAGATGTTTGCACAGATAAGGTTAAAGGATAAAGCCAGATTGATGTTCATATTGAATAAATAGGAATAATTGATCAAAACAATACAGTGATTGATATGAACAAGCTGATTTGAATCTAGTATAACGATGAGTGAGTGAGTGAGTGAGTGAGTGAGTGAGTGAGTGAGTGTTTTACGCCGCTTTCAGATAATTCCAGTAATATTACCATGGACGACACCAGAAATGGGCTTCACATATTGTACTCATGTGGGGAATCGAACACGAGTCTTCGGCATGACAAGAAAACACTTTATATATATAATGGACAAAGGAAATAAGACTAAATAAGTATCTCACTCTGGATAGATAACATTCAACCACTTTAATCTTGTGTATATGTGAGGAGTGGTTCAAAGGCATGAATAAAAAAAACCACACAGATTGTGTGTGATGGGATGTTTTTGTGTTATTGTGTGTTATTGTGTGTTATTGTGTGTAAGTTGTAGCAGGATCACAAGGGGTATACCTGGGGTATCATGCGTCCAACGTTAGGTTTCATACCACGAGTTGGAGGTGAGTCATATAAACCCTAAATTGGGACACAAAAAAACCATGTACCCCTAGTACATTCTGACATGGAGGTATGATAAATCGTTCTAAATTCGCTCTGCTTTAGGTTTTTATACCAGGAGCTGCGGGACACCTGTACCTGAGTGATACTGCAGGACACCTGTACCTGAGTGATACTGCGGGACACCTGTACCTGAGTGATACTGCGGGACACCTGCACCTGTGTGATACTGTGGGACACCTGTACCTGAGTGATACTGTGGGACACCTGCACCTGAGTGATACTGTGGGACACCTGTACCTGAGTGATACTGTGGGACAACTGTACCTGAGTGATACTGCAGGACACCTGCACCTGAGTGATACTGTGGGACACCTGCACCTGAGTGATACTGCGGGACACCTGAACCTGAGTGATACTGCGGGGACACCTGTACCTGAGTGATACTGCGGGACACCTGTGCCTGAGTGATACTGTGGGACACCTGAACCTGAGTGATACTGCGGGACACCTGTACCTGAGTGATACTGGGGGACACCTGTACCTGAGTGATACTGTGGGACACCTGCACCTGAGTGATACTGTGGGACACCTGTACCTGAGTGATACTGTGGGACACCTGTACCTGAGTGATACTGCAGGACACCTGTACCCGTTTTGCTTCACAGCGGGGTATAAGGGATATATTCTGCCTGTCAGAAATCCATGTTATAGTATGTTATGGTGTGTTATTCTGTGTTATAGTGTGTTATTGTTTGTGTGTTACAGTGTTATTGTGTATTTTTGTGTCTTATTGTGTTTTGTTTGTTGTGTTATAGTGTTATTGTGTTACAGTGTTATTGTGTCTTATTGTTTGTTATAGTGTATTATTGTTTGTTATATAGTGTTAGTGTGTGTTAGAGTGTTATTGTGTTGTAATGTATGATAGTGTTATTGTGTGCTGTCGTGTGTGATAGTTTTTTTGTGTGTTATAATGTGTTACTGAGTGCTGTAGTGATTTCATTGAGTGTTATTGTGTGTTATAGTGTGTTATTTTTATCTTCTTACCCAACTGAATGAGTACTTGAATGTACTTTAAACAAAGGGCCAACATGAGGAGTGATGAACCCAGACACGGACAAAAGAAAAGAGTAAAAATATTTCCGTGTGTAATCAATCAATCCTCTCCATATATGCTAATACCCATGTTTTCCAACAGAGACATGAATATGCAGGAGCAACAGTAGCATGTCTTATTGCTCCGGAGCCTTCTTTTAATCACGTCCATTTTGACGCCTGGTCATATAAAATTGTCATAAAAATGTCAAAAAAAGAAATATTTCACCAATTTGTCTGGCACAAGTTTCTTTGGCCAGTAATGTGCACATCTTAAGGCTGTACTAGCCAAAGAGTGTGTTTTTGTCACGGAAGGTACCGCATGACAGATTGTAGATTCCAGCTTTCAATAGGCTAAACTTTAGCATCTTTCTGGTTTCTGATTCTTTTGTCAACAATCCTGAAATTCAGAATTTCTTGTTAAAAATGGCCAATTTTTATTTCAAAGAGTCATCTGAAAATGTAGCAATGTGTGCAGTGTTTTCATTTTTGTGGGACAGTGTAATATGCAAACCAATTAATAAAAAGTCTGCCTTAAGACCACGATCAAAGCTTTGTTATCGGATCAAAATACAGCTTTGATACAATTCATTTCCTTCCTACAAGCAGAACATGAAACTCCACTGACCAGCGGTCAAACATCCCTGACCAACATGGGTCCGGGTTGACCCCATCACGTAATGTACCATTGTTAATTTCATGAACATAGCAAGCTCTATGACCAGGACAATTAAACGCTCAAGGACAATTACTCCTTTCTTTCATGTTGTGACTCTTTCCTTTGATATTTGAAAGTTACAACTCCAGGTCAATAAACTGGTCCCGGGAGACGGTGATGTGGCCGGTGTTTTATGCTACCATCAGTCTTGTCACAATGGTGGTTTCAGCTGTCAGGGATGTTGATGTTTCCAAACGAAGGAACATCACACTTTGTCCGTTTCACATCAGTCTCAGATTGCAAGTGGAAAGAAATGAGATTTCAATGATGCAAAACTTTAAAAAGACTTATTTCTTCCAACTACATGGAAATGCTATTACAAACAATATCATTATATTATCAGTGGCTGGGAGATATAGGGGGCTGACATTTCTCACCAGTCCATTTACTTCACTATCCAATGCCATGCCTTGGACACCACAGCCGTCAAACCGAGGGTAAAATATAGCTCCTCTCGTCATTGTTTTAGTCTTCAATAAATATTTAAGCAGTGTAACATCCATGGTCTGACAACACCCTATAGAAGACATAGAGATAGGTACCAAGATAAAGGTGTGGTGGGTGCTTGAGTGAGTGAGTTATGAGATGAATGTACTGTGTGTTCAGTGTAGAGCTAGGTTACCTATAGATTTAACTGTGGTCTGAGGACTGAGGTTTCAATGCAAGCTCTTAGTGTTAGCTGAGATCTTGAGTGAAGGAAAGATTGACCAATGGTTTGGGGGTTTGTCGAGCTGAACTAAGTAAACACCAATACCAGCTATTTAACAAAGTTTGGTGCTGTATATGATTAAATACATCATTATGCTTCACACACAAAGGAAACAGGCATTATGTGTCCAAACCAAAGTGAAGTGAGCACCCCTAAAGTAAATGAAGCCTGCCTTGCACTATTATGACATCAAATTGCTCATTGCGATGCAGAAAATATGATACAGTAAACTACGGTTATAATGAACACGCTTATAACGAGCTGACGGATATAACAAACTTACTTTTTTGGTCCCGACCATTTGCTGTAATTATGCTGTATATATGCTTATAACGAACTACGGTTATAACGAACTAAAATTAGTTGTCCCTTTGAGTTCGTTATAACCATACTTTACTGTATTTGGTTATTTTTAACTGCACATATTATTGTTATTTAAAAATGCTCACCAAAACTGACTGAGAAAGAAGTACTTTCTAATAAATACAAGCTTTCCCAGTGATGAAACTGTCAAAATCATTCCTCCCACATGGAACCGTATGTAGATTAGCCTCCTCCTCCATTGCTCTCTTCCTCGTGGAAACAATAATGTACCATTATGAGGGTGAATAGCCGAGGTTGCAGTTGTAGTATTGTTGCTGTGAATAGCCGAGGTTGCAGGGCTACTACTGTTGCTGTGAATGACCGAGGTTGCAGGGCTAGTACTGTTGCTGTGAGTGTGAATGGCCGAAGTTGCAGGGCTAGTTTTGTTGCTGTGAATGACCGAGGTTGAAGGGCTAGTACTGTTGGTGTGAGTGTGAATGCCCGAGGTTGCAAGGCTAGTACTGTTACTGTAAGGTAAATGCCCAAGGTTGCAGGGCTAGTACTGATGCTGTGTATGGCCGAGGTTGCAGGGGTAGTGTTGTTGCTGTGAATGCCTGAGGTTGCAATGCTAGTACTGGTGCATGAGGGTGAATGGCCAAGGTTGCAGGACTAGTACTGTTCCTGTGAGGGTGAATGCCCGAGGTTGCAGGACTAAGACTGTTGCTGTGAGTGTGAATGGCCGAAGTTGCAGGGCTAGTTTTGTTGCTGTGAATGACCGAGGTTGAAGGGCTAGTACTGTTGGTGTGAGTGTGAATGCCCGAGGTTGCAAGGCTAGTACTGTTACTGTAAGGTAAATGCCCAAGGTTGCAGGGCTAGTACTGATGCTGTGTATGGCCGAGGTTGCAGGGGTAGTATTGTTGCTGTGAATGCCTGAGGTTGCAGGGCTAGTACTGGTGCATGAGGGTGAATGGCCAAGGTTGCAGGACTAGTACTGTTCCTGTGAGGGTGAATGCCCGAGGTTGCAGGACTAAGACTGTTGCTGTGAGTGTGAATGGCCGAAGTTGCAGGGCTAGTTTTGTTGCAGTGAATGACCGAGGTTGCAGGGCTAGTACTGTTGGTGTGAGTGTGAATGCCCGAGGTTGCAAGGCTAGTACTGTTACTGTAAGGTAAATACCCAAGGTTGCAGGGCTAGTACTGATACTGTGAATGGCCGAGGTTGCAGGGGTAGTATTGTTGCTGTGAATGCCTGAGGTTGCAGGGCTAGTACTGGTGCATGAGGGTGAATGTCCAAGGTTGCAGGACTAGTACTGTTCCTGTGAGGGTGAATGCCTGAGGTTGCAGGGCTAGTACTGGTGCATGAGGGTGAATGTCCAAGGTTGCAGGACTAGTACTGTTCCTGTGAGGGTGAAGGCCTAAGGTTGCAGGGCTAGTACTGTTGCTGTGAATAACCAAGCTTGCAGGACTAGTACTGTTGCTGTGAGGGTGAATGCCCAAGGTTGCAGGACGAGTACTGTTTCTGTGAGGGTGAATACCCAAGGTTGCAAGGCTAGTACTGTTGGTGTGAATATCCAAGGTTGCTGGGCTAGTATTGTTGCTGTCAGGGTGAATGCCCGAGGTTGCAGGACGAGTACTGTTGCTTGGAATTACCAAGGTTGCAGGACTAGTACTGTTGCTGTGAGGGTAAATGCCCAAGGTTGCAGGGCTAGTACTGTTGCTGGGAGGGTGAATGCCCGAGGTTGCAGGATGAGTACTGTTGCTGTGAGGGTGAATGCCCAAGGTTGCAGGGCTTGTACTGTTTGCTGTGAATTGCCGAGGTTGCAGGGCTAGTACTGTTGCTGTGATGGTGAATGCCCGAGGTTGCAGGGCTAGTACTGTTGCTGTGAAATCCAAGGTTGCAGGGCTGCTACTGTTGCTGTCAGGGTGAATGCCCAAGGTTGCAGGGCTAATACTGCTGCATGATGGTGAATGCCCAAGGTTGCAGGACTAGTACTGTTGCTGTGAATACCAGAGGTTGCAGGGCTAATACTGTTGCTGTGAGGGTGAATGCCCAAGGTTGCAGGACTAGTACTGTTGCTGTGAGTCTGAATGCCCAGGTTGCAGGGCTAGTACTGTTGCTGTGAGGGTGAATGCCCAAGGTTGCAGGACTAGTACTGTTGGTGTGAATACCAGAGGTTGCAGGGCTAATACTGTTGCTGTGATGGTGAATGCCCAAGGTTGCAGGACTAGTACTGTTGCTGCGATGGTGAATGCCCAAGGTTGCAGGACTAGTACTGTTGCTGTGAGTGTGAATGCCCAAGGTTGCAGGGCTAGTACTGTTGCATGAGGGTGAATGGCCAAGGTTGCAGGGCTAGTACTGTTGCTGTGAATACCAGAGGTTGCAGGGCTAATACTGTTGCTGTGAGTGTGAATGACCAAGGTTGCAGGACTAGTACTGTTGCTATGATGGTGAATGCCCAA